GGGGGCTGTAGCTGTAGACCGGGAAAACCAGCCTTGTGGTGCCCAGGCTCGTCCACCACGGGAGCAGAGCTGATGGGACACAGGCTCTGGGGCAGCAGGAGAGCCCGAGTGAACCCTCGCCACAGGGCGAACGAGTGCGACGGGAGGGTTGGGACCGGAGGGTGCAGTTCCCACGCAGCAGCACCTTGTTGGCATGGCCCGACGAGGGGGATGTTGGCGGAGCGGAGCTAACCCGGGCCAGCCAGAACTGGAGGTGTTGGGAAAGCGGCCCCGGCCCCCATGGAGGCGGCCGGGACTCGGGTTACAGCTCCTGGAAGGACCCGCCTAGGGGAGGACCCAAGGAGGGACGGGCTCAGCCGAGCTCTTGCCAACTTGGCTGCCAGGAGCCAGCGTTTGGGAGCGCTGTGATGGGGCTGGAAAGCGCGTCTGAAACTTTCCTGTGAGGCACTTGGCTTTTCTCCTTGTACCTCTTGATCGGGAAGCACTTCTGGCCTCCAGAGATGGGGATCTCCTTGCTGGAGAGCTGCCCTGGCTTCCTGCGGTGGGGAGACCAACGCTAAATGCCAGCTTTGGATGCGGTTGGGTGTGCTTTCAGGTAAGAATCTGTTCTTTGGAGTAAGCGCTTGTTCTGTTTATGGCTTAAATACAGCCGCGGTTTGAACGTTTGGCCGTGTAAATCAGTGCGCAGGGTAAAGCAGGTTGGCTTTGAGTCCCTTTGTAGGTCCATTGTTCTGCCTTGATCAACAGGGGTTGTGGTTGTTAGTGGGAGCACGGATTCAGCCACTCATCCCTGTTCGCTTCCCTTGTGGGTTTGTTACCAAGTGTTGAATGTCTTCCCAGGTCTCCAGGAGCTGCCTGGCATTTTCCACTCCTCGAGCAGGAGGGAATGGGGAAGGGAGGACACTTACACCTTTCCTTTCAGTGTAGGAGGACTCTGAACTTACTGCGAACCTGGGGCAGTAACGGAGTGAGGAGGGAGATGGTGTTTGCGCACAGATAACGCTGGCGAGGGGAGAAGCCGTGCTCCTTTTGTGTGCTGGCTCCTACTGAGATGCAAAAGCTCTGCTGGATGTGAAGGGGGAGAGACTTGAGCGGAGTTTGAGGAAGTGTGATGAGAGAAGAGGCTCTGTTTGCATATTGCTCAAGGGAAAGGGGCTGCTGGATTGTTGCAGCTTGGAATTGGAGTTGTGTTTTACCGAGGGAACAATGCTGCTGAGGAGGAACCTTGTAAGAGCCTGCTGAGGAGCGTAAGGCCGTGGAAGGGGGTTGCTCGGACACTGAACAATAGATTCCTCCAGCTCCTTTGTGCATCATGGCACCAGCCTGACTTTCTATCTGCTCGCTGCGGTGGGCAGGGTGTTCCTCTTCCCCCGCTAGACGTTGCTGGGTGGCATTGTCTGTCCTTGCTGCCGAGCTCCCAGGGCAGTTTGCTAATGGCAGGGTAGCACTGAAGTGGCCCAGGAGCCCCTCGAACCCATCCCAGGCGTTATTAACCTGTCAGCCCCTCCTGGACTCACAGGGTTGCCCAAACCCACTTTGTAACCCACATTATTGCAACCCTCAAACTTTTCCCTGGGCTCCAACTGGGTTTTGCCCAAAGCAGCCTTTAAATCCTCATGACAACATCTGAATGCTGAGGGGCTGCTTCTCTACACTGGAGTGTTGCACAGGCAGGACATGGCCCCTTTGTGGCTCTACCCAGCTCTAATCCCCTCCCCCAATGAACACAGTATTGAACAAGTATTGTATAATGCTGTGAAAAAGGTTCACAGTTTGCCAGGAGGAAGCTTATGGGGCCTGTCATAGCTGGGGAGTCCTTCATGCTTGCAAGAAACGAAGCTTGGTCTCCATAACTTAGTGACAAGTTTAAAACTAGTCTTCTCTGGATTCGATTTGGCTTGGTGTCAGCTCAGAAATGACTGAGAATGAGACCTAGAGCCACCAACACTTTAATGGTCCTGGAAATGGAAAGCATCCTGTGAGCTGTCTTTGTGCTACCCTGTGTATGGGCCACTGCTGTTCCATTGTGATCCTCGCTATCCCAGTTCAACTTCTGTAGCTGGTGCCACTCGAGTTTCTCTCCTCCCCCCCTTCTTCCCATATGTGTGATGTTGAGAAGGTGAAGAGGTTTATCCAACATCAGTGGCAATTTCCTTTTTGATTTGGGATTCAAGCTTTCACCAGGGTTTGGAGGAAACTGTTTTGCACAAGAATGGCCAAGCCTTTGGTTTGGTTTTTGGATACACCCTATGAAGGTGGCATCTACCTGCCTGTGATTCAGTGTCCTAATCCAGGGCGTTCCTCCCTGCCCTGTTCTTCCATTGCTTTCCCTTGTCCAAGCCAAGTGCTATGTCTGAGGAAGCCACTGGGATGCTTCCATCCCCTGCGCTGCATTTGGACCACACGATTCCCGAACAGCCAGAGATCTACAAACATCCCATGACCTGAAAGGAGAGGGAAGATGGACTTGTTATGTGGTACTAGCTCATGGCTCCGTCCCCTGGGGCAGCTTGATCCCTCCTCTGCCTCCTTTTCCTTTCTTTCCCATCGATATTCCCGCAGCCCAGACCCCTCCATGTCCTGGGCTGCATCCCCAGAGCGTGATGCTGAAGCATCCCAGAAAACAGCAGTACTGGAAAACTGCTGCCTGGAGAGTGGAGGAACATGGAATCATAGAATGAACGTGCAACTAATTCGGGCCCCCGAGCTGTGTTTTATATTTGAGGGTGATTTAGAGTGAATTATGAGTCAGGCACGTTGGGTTTTCTCCCTGGTCTGCCTTAAGCTTTCTCTAAGATGAGGGTGATGGTTGAGCTCATGAGAGGACAGGGAGAACCAGTGACTTCATGTGCAGGACACACCAGGCTAAGGAAAAAGTGTGTCATCCATCAGTCAGCACCTCAGTGCTGTGAGGAAGGAGGCTCCAAACTGGGTTTGCCCTTTCCAGTGAGGGCTGGAGCCAGCCCTGACTTGAGATTTCCAGGCTCTGGGTTAGGAAAGGAGCAGGAACATCTCCTGTGGGCTGTAGGGATCCGGCTGCTGCTCATCCCATGGGATTGGTTGTGGTGCTGGATCTTTCCATGGTTTCTTTTCCTGTGGACACAAAAAATCCTTTAACTTAACCTGCTGCTTCATGTTTGTCTGCCCACAGGAGAGGGATTATCAGGGGTAAAGAGGCTTTGACAAGTGATGCAGAATCAGGGAATGGGTTGGGTTGAAGGGACCTTAAAGCCCATCCAGCTCCAACCGCTGCCACGGGCAGGGACACCTTCCACTAGAGCAGGTTGCTCCAAGCCCCTGTGTCGAACCTGGCCTTGAACACGGAGGGGAGACCCACGCTAATGTTATGACCCAGACAAATGGCTCCCAGCAGTGCCCAGTGTGTCAAAGAAATGGGAAAAGTCCTTCTTGAGACTTCAATATCTTCCTATCAAGCTGTTTTCCAGTGAGTTCAATGGGATTTGACTCGCAGCCTTGATCCAGACCTGGAAGGGAGGAAGGGAGCTGCTTCCCTTGGTGCACAGGTGACTGACTGGGTGACACTCTGGCTGCTGCCCCATGGTTGTATAGTCCAGAAGTGCTGCAGGGCTTCCTGATGCTCCAGCTCCATGGTTGTACGTGCTGACTTCTTGCCACTGTTTTACTTTTCAGGGCTGAGGAGTCTCTTTTCCTGCCCAGTTCTTCCTCTCTTGGCAAAGTTTGGGAAGTACTTTCAGGAAGGATCAGCAAGTGCTGCCCATGGAGCAGTGTTGTAACCGTTGTGTGTGTTTGCAGGTCCAAGCAGCTAATGCTACTCTTGTCCCTCTCTAGGCCAGCAGCAATGAAGCAGTGCTTTTACAATGAGACTGTGGGGTTCTTCTACAACAACAGCCGCAAAGAGCTGACCACGTACTGGAGGACAAAGGATGTCCTGGTGGTTGCCCTCGGCCTGACGGTGAGTGTCATTGTGCTCCTGACCAACCTGCTGGTCATCACCGCTATCATCATCAACCGCCGCTTCCACTACCCCATCTACTACCTGCTAGGGAACTTGGCAGCTGCAGACCTCTTTGCTGGCATCGCTTACATGTTCCTCATGTTCCACACGGGGCCCAGGACAGCAGAGCTCTCCCTGAAGACCTGGTTCATCCGTCAGAGCCTGCTGGACACCAGTTTGACAGCCTCTGTGGTGAACCTGCTTGCAATCGCTGTGGAAAGGCACCAGACTGTGTTCACTATGCAGTTACACAGCAAAATGTCCAACCAGCGTGTGATGATCCTCATCTTCTGTATCTGGGTCACAGCCCTGCTCCTAGGGCTCATCCCGTCCTATGGCTGGCACTGCCTCTGTGCACTGGACAAGTGCTCCAGCATGGCACCGCTCTACAGCAGGAGCTACCTGACCTTCTGGGCCATCTCCAACCTGGTCATCTTCCTGATCATGGTGGTTGTGTACACGCACATCTTCATCTATGTCAAAAGGAAGATGACCCGGATGTCCAAGCACACGAGCTTCCACCCGCGCTACAAGGAGACCATGATCAGCCTGGTCAAGACGGTCACTATCATCCTAAGTAAGTCCACTTGGTGGTGCTTTGAGCCTCCAGGCTGGGCTGGCTGGGGTTGGGGGGGTGGATGTGCTCGGGACAACGGGCAGCACTGGGAAGTGACGCTCTGCTTCCCTGGTCCCTGATGCTTGGGGCCACGCTTTGCTCTGGCTGCTGCTGCCCTCAGGTTTTGGGCTCTGCAGGAGTTGTGTGTGTGAGCTGTAACAAGCCAGGAGAGGGTGAGCTCCTGAGTCTCCTGCCTTCTGACACGGGTGTTTCTCAGCTTGGTAGAGATGAGAGGAGCTATTGCTGTGGCTTGGTAATACCTGACTGCTGTAAGTACTACCATGGAAGCAGCTCTTTACGTGCTCAGCTCTAGTCTGCTTCCTCCATAGAAGGGTAGCATGGAATTAGGAGCTATAATCACAAAGGAGCACTTGGTGCACCCTCTCTGAAAAGGATGGAGCGAGGTTTGGGGCAGCTGTTACAAGGTGGTGGGGAAGGAATGAGGGAGTTGCAGCCAAATTACTTACTGTTTATGGGATGAGACATTGAACTCTGTTCAGATTTCTTTGTTTGAGCAGCTCAGCGCTGGGGCTCAGGCAAATGTCCCCCTGGAAGCTCCCAGCTCTCAGTTCAAGCTGCTCTCCATGAGCACAGGGGCTCCAGGAGGGTGCTGACTGCCCATCAGGCTGTCTGTAGTGAGACGGGAGCAGGAACTGGAGTGGTTGGTGCTGAGGCTCCAACTCTGCAGGATATTGAACTTCATTCAGAGCTCTTCTGTCCTGCCTAGTGCTGCACATCTAATGAACCACAGAATGGTGGGGTTGAAAAGGACCTGAAGGTCATCCAGTTCCAACCCCCTGCCATGAGCAGGGACGCCTCACACTAGACTGTGTCACCCAAGCCCCTGTGTCCAACCTGGCCTTGAACACTGCCAGGGACGGAGCATTCACCACTTCTTTGGGCACCCTGTGCCAGTGTCCCTCCACCCTCACAGGGAAGAACTTCTTCCTTATCTCCGGCCTGAACTTCCCATCACTCCAGTCCCTGATGAAGGTCTCTCTCCACACCCTTGTAGCCCCCTTCAGACCCTGGAAGCTGCTCTGAGCTCTCCAGCAGCTTCTCCTCTCCAGGCTGAATATTCCCAATGTTCTCAGCCTGTCTCCATACAGGAGCTGCTCCAGCTCCTGCTCATCCTCGTGGCCTCCTCTGGCTTTGCTCCAACAGCTCCATGTCCTTCTTATGTTAATAGCAGAGGCTGGGATGTGCATTGTGCTTTCAACAGCCCATTGCTCCAGGATTTCTTTAAGGAAAGGCTGTTGGATCATTAAAGCATAAGGGAAGAACCAGCTTGAAGCAAATCACAGTGCTCAGCTCTTGAGCAGCTCCGCTCCAGGCGCACGGTCACAGCCCTTTGCTTGCAAATCTTTCCTGATAAGCACAGAATTTGCTCTGTCAGGGAAACCTTGTGGCTGCAAACAAAGAGTCCTCCCTTGCAAGCTCCCCCTGGCACAGTGGGGCTCAGCAGGGGGCTGTGGGGCTGCTCGGTGTGTCCCTGCTCCAGGGCTCGCTGCCTCGCTGGGGCCTGTTGCAACTTGTGAGCATCGAAACTGGAGTTTTCTGCCTGTTCCTGCTTTTCCTTTGATGCTGCCTCCCAATCTCTCTCCATCTCTTGTGTGCAGCTGGGAGGTGGTTACTGCCTGGATGCTGCACAGGGGGGCAGTGGGGCTGAAGGATTTGGTTGCTTGATGTGTTCTGTACAGTCTGCAGTGGGGAGAAGTTGGTTTGTTCCTCCTTCCTTCCTGGGTAGTATCAGAGTCACCCCATGGTGTCAGCAGGGCTGTTTAACTTCATGGGGCTTCACATCAGCTGGAAGAGTGTTGGGAGGATGGGGGATGCTGGCCAAGAAGGGAAATGCAACTCACCTTATATCGGGAGGTCCCCTTCCTCTTGATGCTTTTGACTTCTGCCTTGAGTGAGGAGAAAGCTGGGGTCAGAGGCTGTGGTTCCATAAGGAATTGGGACTGGTGCCTGAGGATGAATGAGGTGGTGAGAAACCTCATGGAGGGAGACTCGGGAGCTCATCCGGCCTTTGGGACTCATGTAACCCAGGGGTTTTCCCTTCCTCTGCCGGGCAGCATCAGAGAGAAGCAGCAGTTGGTTCTGTACAGGGAACAAGGGGGGGGAAACACCTTTCCATTTGGCTTCAGTGTGCAGCAAGCTGAAGCTGCAGAGGGTTCCTTCCCTCCCTGGAGCCCTGGTGTGAGCCCTTCCCCACCCTCATTCCCCAGCCTTCTGCAAACTTGGACTCTGCACAGAGAATACTTTGCGCCTTATGCATGGGAGGGCGAGGCGCTGGGGAGGAAGCCGAGGGCGCGGTAGGAGTTGTGTGTGTCCCACTTCATTGCCAGGCAAGGATAATCCTGCAGGTCCTGGGCATGGGGAACAGGTCTGGGAGCTGACCTGGGAACCCGTAATGAGGCCGAGGTGTATCTGGAAACTAGTAGGAGGTCTTCCCACAGAGCAGTTGTGATGCAGGATGCGATGTGACCAAACTGCGGGGCAGAGGCATTGCTGACCATGCTCTGTTACATGACTATGTTCAGGTTCTTTCTGAGTACTTCAGCTTCCATTAAGGAGCAAGGAAAGAGCTGGATTTGCAGGCAAAGGACTTCATCTTAGGTGCTGCTTTTTGGTTTCCCCCTCTTCTCTGTAACATTCCTTTGGCTTTCCTTAGTGCTGCTGGGAGCCAGTCTCTAGTGAATCTGCCTTCCCTTCTGAATGCTGAAAACCTGGCCAAAAAAGAAGGTGAAAGCACTAAACAAGGAGGTCCCTTTCTGCAGGTCCAGTATTGACCCTTCCTTTGTGACAACCAGGAATTCATCTTGTATAGTTGCTAAATACAGAGGAGGCAAAGTCCTGTCTGCAAGTGGGGGGAAAAGCTGCCTGGGCCTGGCTGTGGTGGCTGCTGTGCTGAGCATGGTTTGCTGACATCCAAGGGTTCTGTGAGGCAGTGGCCTGAAGTCAGCAGGGGATGCTCCCAGAATCCCTGTGCCTCCCTCCCAGGTGTTCCTTTAACTTTGCACCAGTGCATTTCACTCCGTGCCAGCCACGAAGTCATCCTCTGTGCTCTGGTGCAGCTCCTCTGGCTGCTGTTCTCTCCAGGCAGATGTTTTCCAGTAAAGGGTGTAGTTACAGAATTCCCAGCAAGTCCCATTCCCTTCCACCCTTTCCCAGAAGACGCAGCAGGGTGCAGCTCCTGTGCTTTAGGATACAACCTAAATGACCCCCGGGAGCACTGATGGGCGAGTGCTCCATTGACGTCAACCTTCCAGCCATGACTGTGAGAAGGGCTTGAGGAGCTGCAGCACCTCCCACTGCATCCTGCAGAGCAGCAATTACCCTTCTGCCAAAGAGCTTTGCAGGTGGTGGCAAGAACATGGTATCTGCCTGACTGAATCAGCTGGTGGAGCCTGTCCAGCTCAGCCCTGGTGTTGGCCAGCCCGTTGCTTGGCTGTTTTCTGCTCAGCTTAGAGCAGTGGGAGGCTGCTTCTGCCTCAAGAGTTGGCCAGGACTCAGCTTAACTTGTACTAAAGCCCCTGTGAAGTGTGTGGACACTGGAGATTGTCATTCAAGGTGTGTTACTCTGGCTCTTAGAATCCTAGAATGGTTTGGGTTGGAAAGGACCTTAAGATCATCCAGTTCCAAGCCCCTAGGGGGGGACACCTCACACTAGACCATGGTGTCCAAGGCTCTGTCTTGAACACTGCCAGGGATGGATCTTCCCTGATCTTACAGCCTGTCCCACTTCCTGGAGGGAATGGCGTGTAGATGGGGAGTATGACCACGTTATCTCTGTGAATGCAAGGATGGGGAGGTAGGTGAAAGCACTTGAAATGTTCTTCCCTGTGAGGGTGCTGAGGCACAGGGTGCCCAGAGAAGCTGTGGCTGCCCCATCCCTGGCAGTGTTCAAGGCCAGGTTGGACACAGGGGCTTGGAGCAACCTGCTCTAGTGGAAGGGGTTAGAGCTGGAGGAGCTTTAAGGTCCCTTCCAACCCAACCACCACTGATTCTACTGAGCATCTTAACAGTGCGGGGCCAGGAACCTGCTTTTCTCTAACAGTTCTTATTCTCTCCCCAGGTGCTTTTGTTATCTGCTGGACTCCAGGACAAGTTGTGCTCCTCCTGGATGGCCTGGGCTGCAAGAGCTGCAACGTTCTAGCAGTGGAGAAGTATGTCCTGCTGCTGGCAGAGATCAACTCCTTGATAAATGCCATCGTCTACTCCTACAGGGACAGTGAGATGAGAAGCACCTTCCGGAGGATCCTCTGCTTTGTGTGTTACAGGAATTCCAAATACACCCCCACGGTGGTGAAGTTGAACACCACAGACCGTAGGACACTGTCTCAGAACGGGCACTTCACGGTGGATTCCTCTATTTAGCTCTTGCTCAGCTCCTGCTCCTGAGGAGGGAGCAGAGGGGAAGAGCGACCTGCTTCTAAAGCAGCAGAGCCTTCCCTGCTGTGCTCAATCCTTGACATGGGTAAGGGACAAGAGAAGGAGCTGCTGGATGGTGCATTATTGAGGACAAACACACATGGAGTAGCATTCTTTATTAAAGACTATTTCTAATGCAAGGTTGATTTGATGGAGCAGCATCTAGAGGTGTGCTGTGTGCTACAGGAATCTCCCACCAAGCAAAGTATTTGGTACTTCAGTATTATTGCCTCCAGAAAGAGTTGTTCCAGCAGCAGCATCCCCCAAAGAGCCAAAGCTCTTCAGCTTTATGCATTGTCTCCTAAACAGAGCTGCTTTAGTGTTTCCCCAGAGAGCCCTATTCAGGTTGTGTGCCACCTGCATCAGAAATCACATTCTTAAGGCCTCTTCAGAGAGGAAGTGACTTGAATTGCTTCCCGAGAAGCAGATTCCTGCTTTCTGAAGGGTTCTGGGCTTTTGGAGGATGTCTTAGGAGCACCTAATGCTTTCCTAAACTGGAGAGTGGTGCTGTAACTCCCTGCAGTGTCCTGCTAAGTGATCCCATGTACTATTCACCAGTTCATTGCCTATCCCTGAATGTGGAGTGAGTCATGTTCCCATGAAACCATCCTTCTACCCGCTGAAAGCCCTTTGGGACAGGTTTAGGTTAGATTCCAAGGCAAGCAGTAGTTTGCGTTGGGTTTTAATGTGCAGTTTGTACCTTAATACTCCAGTTCAGTCTGTTCAGGTGTAGCCTTTCCCTCAGCAATCCCCATGAGGAATTAGGAATATTAATGTTAGTCCAGGTAGGATCTAGTTTTCCAAGTCCATTTGCTGCAGGTGACGTGCAGTGTGAACTATCACTCTTGTAAAGCCACAGCTGGAGGGCAGAGGCTCTGCTGGTGGAAGAATAGTCCCAGCTGAGGACCTAAAACTTCTCCTTCATGCTGTTAAACTTGAACAGTGGGAATATGCCAATCCAAAATCCCAAGTGAGTCATTTGCCATGAGCTCTGGGAGAGCAGGGAGAGGCTGAGAGGAGGCAGGGGTTGGAATCCTGGTTAAATTCATCATTTTGGGGGGTTTTAACTGGGTTTTAACAATCAGCAGCTCCCTGAGTGATCACCTCAGCTGGCTTTGAGAGAAGACAACTTTCCCAGAGGCATTGTTACTGAAATGTGTGTGTGGACTTGTTCTTGCAGGACAGAGTCAGGAAGTGCCAGTATTAAGGTGACAGTCTCCTGGATTGACTAAACCAGTCTTGGAATATGGTTCCCATCTCTGTGTCCCAGAGGCTTTTTGAATAAATGTTGTCCTGGGTTTTAGAAAAGAAGACTTGGAATTTTTCCCTTCTCTCCCCACTCTGAAGCCCTGGGAAAAGGAACAGCCAGTTGTGTGATGCTGGAAAGGAAGGATGCTGCCCTACATGCCTGCATCCACGCAGCCTGCTGTGCTGTGGGCTGCCTTGGAGGTAGGTTCTCCTCAAGAGCATCTCGGGCCTCTCTGTGTGTGTCTGGAGGGGTGAGAGCCTCCAGAAAGGCCATGAAGAGAGCTAGAGGGTCATTTCCAGGCAGCCAGAGCAGGGGGGAAGATGCCACCCTTGGTCTGTTGCTTGCAAACACCAGGCTTGGCAGTTTTGGGGACACTTCAACCAGTGGTAGGGCTAAAAGAAGGCACAATTCTCTTTGTATTGCCAAAGATGACTTCTAGCTACCTTCTAGTCCCTGGAAAATACTGGTTTTGGGATACAGGTACACACTGTGGTGAATTAGTAGTAGCTGGAGGAAGATGCTAACAGTGAACTCATGGAAAACTGTTCCTGGGAGTGCTGGAGCTGGGACAGAACAATCATAGGCCTTCTCTTTGAGCACCCCCAAAGCAGGAAGCACGTGAGTCCTACTTCATACCAAGATAAACATGTGCCAAGCTCTGCCTTTACTAACAGAGGGGGGAAGGAGGCACTGGGATGGCTGATGTGGCCTAGGTGAGGGGTTAGCACCAGCCTGATTTAACCAGGGGGATGGGTAAAGAATTGATTGCACTGTGTTGGGGTGGGAATGGACCTTTAGGGGGTGAGATGATACTTGGCTCTCAAGAGAACTGCACTTGGCTTTTAGGCCCAGTTGGGCCTTTAAGGTGTACATGTTCCCTGAGGAAAGGAGCCTGACCTGAGCCTGCTGCTGGCTGCACTTTGGCAACATGCTTCTGTGTAAGTACCCCAGCCACAGGCAGACTTGGATCATTGAGTGTCTGTGTTCTTTGTGTTTTGTGATCTCCATCTAGAGAGGATCATCTCTTGAGGGTGTCTTCCTGGTCTGTTGAAGGGGTTGTTTAAATTTAGCCAAGCCTTGATGGGAAGTGTACCAAGGATTCTGTAGCATCCCAGCCGGGGTTGGGTGGAAGGAACCTTAAAGCTCCTCCAGCTCCAACCCCTGCCCCGGGCAGGGACACCTCACACTAGGGCAGGTTGCTTCAAGCCTCTGTGTCCAACCTGGCCTTGAACACTGCCAGGGATGGGGCAGCCACAGCTTCTCTGGGCACCCTGTGCCAGCGCCTCAGCACCCTCCCAGGGAAGAGCTTCTGCCCAAGAGCTCATCTCAATCTCCCCTCTGGCAGGTTCAAGCCATTGCCCTTGTCCTGTCCCTTCATCCCTTGTCCAAAGCCCCTCTCCAGGTTTCCTGGAGCCCCCTTAGGCCCTGGAGCTGCTCTAAGGTCTCCCCAGACCAGTCTGGACCAGCAGAACATCCTGACTACTTCAAGGATGTCAAAGCTTCCTCTATAGAAATGGGCTCTGCTGAATAATGTCAAAGTGCAGTTTCATGCATGATTTCACCAAGGTAAATAGCACCTGATGAGTGCAAGGAGGAGGAAGAAAGTCACAGACCTTTAATGGAGCTTGTCTGAGTGATGGCTGGGAATGAAGGCAGGTTGCCTGGAGTTCTTCAGTGAGGTTTCTCTTCCTGAGTGCTTTGGGACCTGTGGATTTCTGGTTGTTTCCAGCTGGCTGTAATGGAAGAGAAAGCAGGAAATGAGGAGTCTGAGGAACTAGCTGGGAAAGTGCTGTTTTCAGGGAGATTGGAAAAGAAATGGTGAATCAATGAGCCAGGGGAGAACACGGGGGATTTTAACAGCCCTCCCAGCAAGAAAGGTGGGGGAAGAGGGGGGACACCACATAAATGTGTCCCAAAAGAAGGGGGATTTAGGTTTCTCCCACAGGAATTCCTGGTCTTCTTTGGAAACACAAAGATTCATGTTTCCTGCTCATGGAGGCAGGAGCCACGTTGGGATGTGTATGTTCCATTTCCCATTCTGTGGCCTCAACGAGGTGCTGCAGCAGAGGGTGGGTGTTACCTGAGCACATGGTTGTTCTGCAGAGCTGCTTAGAAGAAGAAGAAGCTGCTTTAAATCTAACATTATGGCTTTATACACAGCTGGCTGATGTCAGGTTTATGGGATAGCTTGTGCTTTAAGCCATAGGATGGGGTGGGCTGGAAAGGAGCTTAAGAACATCCAGTTCCACCCCCCTGCCACGGGCAGGGACACCTCACACCAGACCATGTCACCCAAGGCTCTGTCTTGAACACTGCCAGGGATGGAGCATTCACCCCTTCTCTGGGCACCCTGTGCCAGTGTCCCAGCACCCTCACAGGGAAGAGCTGCTTCCTTATCTCCAACCTGAACTTCCTCTGGTTAAGTTTGAACCCATCACCCCTTGTCCCATCGCTCCAGTCCCTGCTGAAGATCCCTCTCCACATCCTTAGCAGGGGGTTGGAACTGGCTGATTTTAAGGTCCTTTCCAACACATTCCATGATTCGAAGTCTTTGTGAAGAGGAAATCTCCCTTAAATAGTGTGTGTATGCAGGGGTTGTGCTTGGCTATTTCCTCCAGGCCTGTGAGACTGTTCTGGACTGACTGTGGGTTGGGAGGAAGGAAGGGACACCTAGGAACTGCTTTCAAGGGCTCAAATGTGGGCCAAGGGAGAACACCCAGCTTGATCAAAGATAGGCTCTGTGGTGCCAGGAATGAGAGGTCACGTCTTCCCGACTGGTTGGAATTCCTGAAGCGAGCTGCTGCCAAAAGTAATATGGATTTTAGTGTGGGTTTGGAGGAGGGGTGGGGGGGGGGGGGTGAGATGAACAAGGGGAAGCTGGTGCTGGGTTCTTGGGATTTAAACCTCAGTTTGTCTGACCTACTGAGATGGGGGAAATGAACATCAAGTTTCTGCTGGCTGTAAGAAGCAGCTTTGCCCACAGCCCAAATCCGAGGAAAACCCACTGGTGTTTGGAAACCCTGACAGAGGAGCCCAGGAAGCACTTCCCAGACCTGAAGGGCACAGCTAGAGCATCCCAGCTCAGTGTGGATGGGTGTCCCTGGGGTACTGATGGTGTCACCACAGTGTGACTGAGGTTAAAACCACAGGACGTGCACAAATATCCACGAGCAGGATGAGCTGAGGGGGTGGAGCACTCCAGAGCCCACAGAGGCCTCTACCAGTGGTGGCTTGAAGTGTACGATTCCCCTTGGAAGTAGCTTTTCCTGGCAGGAAAACCTTGGCAGCAGCTGCAGGGACAAGGGTGGCTGTTTCCACCAACTTCCCTGTTGGTTTTGGGGCTGAGCTGTGCTGTGAACCCAAGTCCGTGTGCTCCAGCTTCCAGCACACCGACAACGAGCCCCAGGCACGGTTGCAAGAGCAAGGTGAGTGCATATGGGCGTCAGGCGGGATTTTGGGGAGATATCTTGACACACACGTTACAGCCAAGCCTGAACCGTGAAGCGCAGCTGGGAGCGTGTCGGGTTTGTTCTCCAGGGGGAGCTCGGCCTTTGCGTGCTGCTGCGGTCACGGCCGCAGCTCGGAGCCCCTCAGAACCTCTTTGAGCTGCAGCTCCTGCTGTGGAAGAGCCCAGAGGCTGGACCAACGGATGCCCCAAGGGGGGCATCTCCCCGCAGGTTTGTGCTCTGTGGCCTTC